CAGCCGAGGGCAGGAGCCGCGGCAAAGACGCGTCCTGCCCCTCTCCGCTGTCAGGTCTTGCGCTGCAGCCAAAGGACCAACACCAGCAGCTGGAAAACAAAACAGTAAAAAATGGAGACGCATGTACATTTACAGTTGAACCTTCTCCAAGGAGAGGAAACACTGTCTATGGCTAAACTAAAAGGACAAAAGCCCAAGATGTGTCAGGCCTCGGGAGACCTTATCAGTTACCTATCAATGATATAATTGATTTTTTTCAAACGTGAACAGATAAGGAGCTGCACTAGCCAGCACAGACTGAGAAGCTGCCCGAGGGCATTGCTCAATGCACTGCTCAATTTGCCCCAGAGGAAGTCAGCAGGCTGGAAAGAAGCAGGGCACCGAGCGCTTTCCTCCAGCATCACCTGCAGCCTGAGGAGCAATGGCATAGCCCACTGGCCTCCTCCTGACCTGCCTCCCAAAACAGAGACTGTGCAAAGGTAGCCCCCACTGTGGGAGCTCGTGATGGTTTCCTGCAGGGCACTGTGCCAGGGTGGGGACACCCTGGGTACCCTGAGGTGTCACAGACCCACAGCCCAGCCTGCAGCAACCAGCTCAGACACACAGCAGCACCAGCAAGATGTTCTGGGGATGACTTTTCTAGTGCCAATGGTGATGCTTTGTGTCAGCTGGGTCTAAGTGGGAATTAGCCCTCCAAACGAGGAGGCTGGGGTTCACTCACACCCTACAGCATGGCCCTCTAGCTGGGACGCAGCTCTGCCCCACCACTGAAGGCCAGGGCGTACTGATGTCCTGCCTTCTGCCCTGCAGCCACGCCGGCTGGCAGAAAGCTAGCACTTGGCCGAGAGCTGTGCAGACCCGGTCCCAGCCTGCCCTGAGGGGCTGGAGAGCCAACCGGGGAGGGCCACTCCACACTCCTCCAACAGCACTGCGGCTGCTCCGCAGCTCCGGCCACAGCACCGTGCCTTGGCGGGGAGTGGGACGTCCTCATCTGCAACTGGGGCCGTGGGGCACGCCAGGACCTTGCAGACAACATCCGCTGTGCAGGGAGGGAGAGAGCTGCTTCAAATCATAAGCATCTTTGATAACCACAAGAAAGGTCTAAGAACTGAGAGGCGAAGCAATTGCAGCTTAGAGGTGAAGTGCGTTTTGAAGTGAACTCTAGTGCAGCGGTCGCTCTGTGCAGGACATGACCTTGGAGCCCACATCCAGCACGTGCATGCCCAGCGCGGCACGCTCCCTCCGATGCCGCGCCAGCAGCCGGGTGCTGCCGAGGTGCCCATGTGCAGAGGACTCCAAAAAGCGTAAGGGGGAGAAAACTGAACAGAAGTTAAAAGCTTTTTTCCCTCTGCAAGAAAAGCTCTTAAAGAAATCAAAGCACTTCAAATGCTCTGATTCAAGTGACAAAAAAAATTTAGACAACAAACAGCTCCCAGTTTGCTGTTCCTCTCCCAAACTGGGCTCACTGAACAGATCCATTTAAATGATAATTTGTGGGGGAGAAACCCCCTCCAAGCTCTCTTGAATTAGATTTTCTCTTTCTTAAATTAATGCGTAGTGCTTTAATGGAGACTGGTATGAAGGAGATGACTATGGCCACAGCGGCTCCTTCGGGCACTCCAGCCTCGCCGTGTAGGTGCAGAGGTGCCCAAACAGGAGGCAGCTGCAAGGGGCATGTCACCCAGTGCGCCCCGGCCCCGTAGCGCAGCCCCTCTCTGGCACCCATGGAGCCCAGCTGGAGGCACACACTGTCCCCATGCGGCACCTCGCGGCGCAGAGCCCCGGTCCAGGAGGCGCCGGGAGCCTTGCGGGGGGTTGGCAGGACGGCTAGGACTCCTCGCTGTCCTCCTCACCCCTGCGCCCAGCATACAGCGCTGCCAGCTGCCGGAAACGTGGCCCCCAGCCGCCCAGGTAGGAGAAGTCCTGCTCCGAGCCGCTGGACCAGGTGTTGATGGAGCTCAGGGAGGGCACAGGAGAGTCCGAGCCCTCAAAAGCGTAGGTCTGGAACGAGTCGTAGGGCGGCACAGAGAGGTCCTCATCTGCCTGCTCCACCTTCCTGCAGATATAGTCTCTGAACACGGAGAAGTCCAGGTCTGGGCTCTGCACCCACTGCGGGAGGGCATGGAGCTCGGAGGCTGGATTTCCACTCGGGCCCCCCTCTCCTAGCCCCCCACCTCCATCGCCGCCTTTGATCTCACTGAAGTCATAGAGACTGCGCAGGGCTGACATGTCATAGGCCTCTGTGTCCTGCTCGCCACCCCCTTCGTCGTTGTATTTGATGACATTGTCCCTCATGTCCTCATCATCGTCGGATGTCAGGTGGCTTTTGTGGTGTCGCTTCAGTGTGAGGATCAGGAGGACCAGCACTGGGAAAGGAAGACACAGTCAGAGAGGTGCAGGGGCTTGTGCAAGCTGTGCTCCCACAGGGGCGACGACGGCCCCGCTCAGTGGCAGGGTGCAGAGGCTTGGCACCCTCCAGCACGGGGAGCCCTGCAGCCGAGACCGCCAGCACACCAGCCAGTTCCTATCAGCCAGGCTCATCGAGTAGCAGCTGTGCTGTGTCACGGGCTTGGAGAGAGGTTTGCCTAGGCTCCAGTGCAGACCGGGAACTTCCTTTCCCATGCAGCACGACCACTGAGACAGGAGGGACAGATGAATGAACGCACAGCTGGACAGACAAATGGATGTATTCTGCAGAAAATGAGTAGGAAAAGGGGGTGCATGAATCACAGCAGCAGCCAAATGTTGGGAGGGTGAATGTGGAGCAGATGGCACAGAGCCTGAGCAATGAGCCGCAGCTGTGTCCTGGATCATCATCCATTCATCCCATCACCTTTAAAGCACCAATGTGCACTTTATTCGTTTGGGCAATTAGGCAGAAATTTGTTTGCGCTGCGTTGGAAAATGAAACCAGTGTAAAGTGCACCCTGTGGGAAAGGGTTTTCTAAACATAGAGACACAGGAGGAGATGGGGAACAGAGATGTGCCAAGGAGAGACTTCACTGAACAAGGCACTGGCTCCTGCAGATGTCCGGACAGCCCTCTGGAGCCAGCGCCAGTGCCGGAGGGCTTTCAGCAGCAGCGTCCATCAACTGTCTTATGCTAAACCGGAGGGCACTGCAACATCTCTCTCTCAGAGCCCCTTCCCATGCGCACACAAGCCCGTGCTTCCCTGGCACCTTCACGCTGTGCCGTGGTGGCCCACCAGAAGCTTGTGCTAGTGTGTCAGTGGCAGCCAGCAGCATTCCCGCGGTGCAGGTCCTGACCTGGGCAATGCTCTGGTTCACATGCACCCCAGCTCACACACGCTCGAACGCTGACCCTCCCAGCACTCCAGGGTAAAAGCACAACTGTGCGCCCCACACCTGCCTCCCTTGGCCACCACACCGGGACACACACGCGCTCCATCTGCTGCGAGACGCCTGCTGGGGGCACAGCACGGCAGCCGGCAAGCGGCTCTCGGCTCCCGCCCCCCGAGGGGGGGGGG